TATGAGATTTGATGAAGGATATATAGATTTCTTAAGACCAGATGTTAGGAGGAACTTCAGATATAACAAATCATGAAAACAGTCAATCAGGTTTCCTTCTTTTGATCTAGCATAATCTCTTTAATTTTTTTTATGTCTTTTTAGACCCACCTTGCCAGACAGAACTCAGCAACATTCAGAAGCAGCAAGGGGGAAAGAAGCTCCTCGGTGAGTCATAGATCATTTTTTTGAAGGTTTTATTGCTTACATAAATAACCCTAGTGAAACAGCAGCATAAAATCAATATTAATCCAACAAAGATAGACCACACTAAATTCCAGTAAGAAAATTTATGACGTTTTCGAAAGCTATTAAACTTAGTTTTATTACCTTACCTACCAAAAGATATTACATCTGTTTTATTACCCTAATACAATGTACATTTTTACAGTTATTAGGCAAAAAGGTAGTCCTAAGATAACATTTCTGCTGATAGTTTATCTTTAATGTTCTGCAAGTAATTGAAATCTTTGTTGGGAAAAATTCCATAATATACATGGAACTGCTGCACACATCACAACTGCTGTATTTTCATAACTATTTAATAAAAAAAAATCATTTTAGCCCTAGATGTCATTTAAAAAACTAGAACAAAAGACGCAACCAAAATAACTTGAGACAGTGCTACTGATCAGAATGGTGGTTTTAAATTTTACATACATTTTGTTATATTTGAAAATATTTTTTTTATTTACAATTTGCTTGATCCATTTATTATTACCAAATTGTTTTGACATTTACAAATTACCTTGTTACAATTTATAGTCTTACAAACTGATTCTAACACTTATTCTGTATGGAGCTCCTCTTGATAGCACTAGAGCTCTGTACAGCTGCAGCAGATTATCTTCATGGAGCATGTGCGTATGTGTGCAGGAAATAGGGTTTAGTTTGCAAATCCATGAAATTAATTATTAGAAGTGCACTGATACATCAGTCCCATATCGGGTTGGCACTGATATAAGGAAAATTGACAGTATCGGCAATCGTCTTTTTTTGGCTGATGTGGCTGATCGTGTCGTAGATAAATGCCCCGTGCATGTGCACAGCCTGCAGCTGGTCAGGAGCACTGCCCAGCAGCATGAGAAGCAGCTGTGTCTGGTTTGTAAGTCTGTTCTGAGGGAAGGGGTGTGTAGGGGACTGATCGAGGCCCCAGCAGTGAGAGAGGGAGTGGGGCAGGGGCAGGTGCTGCACAGCTGGGGCAGGACAAGAGGTGGAGCTGTGGTTCATCTGAAGGGTGTGGGGGAGGGGTGGCTGCAGCTGCTGTGCACACCCCAGGAGGGCATGGGGGGGTGTGCCCCCAGATCTGTGCATGGAGTAAAGACAGGCTGCCACTGCAGGCTGACGCTGGGACTGGAGCTGCGGCAGCCCTGGGCTCTTCCCAGTGGGGGGTTGGGCCAGGCTGAACTCAGGGCAGGCAGCAGCAGCACTGGGAGGGGGGCTACAGTGAATTTTTGGTGGCTGCAGCATCCCCCCATAACTCCCCTTGCAGCGCTACTGTCACCCACCCCAAGCACAGCCAAGCCCCCCCCACCAAGAAAAGCTTGGTGCCCCCCCAGCCCTCAGCGGCAGCCTGCCCTCGTCCCGTGTGCAGATCTGGGGCACACATCCCCATGCCCTCCTGGGGTGCCTGCAGCAGTGGGAGCTGCCACTCCCTCCCTGCACTCCCCAGATGAGGTGTTCATGGCTCTTTCCCATGCCCTGCTCCAACTCTACAGTGCCTGCCCCTGCCCCAGCCCCACTCCCTCCTTCACTGCTGGGGCCTCGATCTGCACCCCAATGCCCCTTCCCTCCCTCCTCACCCCTTCCTCCACAACAGACTTACCAGCTGGACCTGTTCTCCAAGCTGCCTGGCTGCATATTTGCAATCAGATCAGTATTGGCCGATATGACTCGTTAAAAATCTGCCATCAGTATTGGCCCTAAAAACCTCTATCAGTGCATCTCTATTAATTACTGTATTATTGTGTTATGCAGCTAAATTTTGGAAGCTAAATGATTAGTTAGTGCATTCTAGTTCACTGAAACACTAACCCTTTAGTGAAATTGAATGTAATTTTTAGTGAAATTGAAAATCATGATAGCCATAGGAGCTACAGAAGTCCAGCAAATCACAAGCGTGTCTAGAGCAGATTCAAAAGTCTGTCCCAAACATAGTGTAACATCAAGCTAGCATGGTTCATGCACACTGATTTCCATAGCCAAGAACACACAATGAAGAGATGGTGACTGGCATCACATCTGCCTGCTTTTGGTCCCCCAGCTTGAATGACCAAGGCCAATTTCTGCACACATCCCCAGCACATGAAAAAAATCACTCCTTACAGCTGTTGCAGGGACTTACCTATACATGTGCTCGGGGATGAGGGGCATTTTAGAGTGGTTCCCAGACAGCCACTCTAATTAAAATGCTGCAGCATCACATATATTAAACCCCGATGAGTTTAAAAGTGGCCATGGTATGCTAACTCAAGGGTGGGCAAAATATGGCCTGCAGGCCAGATATAGCCCACTGGTGATTCCATCTAGCCCGTGGGGCCCCTCCAAAAGTCAAAAGACAATCGTCACTGGATCATGCCCTTGGGTACGACTCTGAAAGCTGGTGCAATCAAGCAAGAAGCACTGGCTCTGGTTGCTAAGCCACCAGTCCCCACCCCAGCCTTGGCTCACCTGCCCTGCCCCCAGCCCCGAGATAGGGAATGGGGGAGATGAGAAGCTTCTGCCTGGTAGAGGCTTTTGCCTGGGGACCCCATAACTGTTTCCCAGTCCTCCTTTCCTGCATCTTACAGGGGAACGAGTTTTAGTTGAAACGTCCCCACCACCATTTTCAAGCTCAGGGACACTGATACAGAAGACACTGCAGCACTTTAATTAGAGCAACACTCGGAACCTGTCTAATTCAAGCGCTGCCCCCCCCACACCCCTGGCGCACATGTAAAAGTGCTCTCCATTGTGAGGAACTGCATGCTAGGGGGCTGTGCTGAGCTAATCCAACACACTGCAGCCATGTAGGGCCAGGGACTTGGGTGGAAGTTGTGCATTATGGGGCCAGGCTGGACTGGGCTGCATGCTGCTGCCATGTAGAGCCAGGGACTTGGCCAGCAGCCTGGGAATTGTGTGCTGTGTGTCTAGGCCAGTCTAGCCCCACATGCTGCCACCATGTGCAGCTCCAAGGACCCCCACATACACAC